GGTTTCATGTCCTTGACAAGCTTCAGGACGTGCTCCGACTTGTTCAATCAATCGTTCGGTGCATTTCGTCTGCCAACTGTAAGGTCCTGAACTTTTTGTTAAGCGTTTTCTTTGTGTCTCCCACTCTGGTGTGTCGTTTTTATTGGCGTAGTGTTTGGCGATGACAATAGCTCGTTGAAAGCACAAGTTATCTTTGTTCTTGACCACGACGATCGCTTTCTTTCTCTTCAAATAATCTTCGAGGGATAATGATTCTCGTTTTAATAGATATCTGCCTTGACCATCTCCTTTGGGAACACTCACGTGACACACATGAAGTGTCATACGTTCATCTAATCTAAACTGTTCATTGGACTGCAGAATTCTCGCCACAGGGTTCAAAATATCTTGAGCTCTTATCCCCGACCATTTGTTGAATGGAATCCAAGCTGGTGATTTCAATCCCGGGTGTGACACGCTGAATCTCACTTGGTCGTCTGGGTCACAACTCAAATAGTTTCCAATGTCCCGGATAATTTGGTTAAAAGTATTATCCAACTGTTGAGGAACTTCTGCTGGTAAAACATTATTCCAATTCTGTGTAAAGTCCACGTTCAAATACACGGAGTTGGTATGAAATCTTCTGCTGTATTTTCTATCGCCAAGTCGTAGTTGATATGCCATCTTCGCAGGTTGCTCTGATAGTGAATCTAGACATCCACATCAGCCGTTAAATAGTTAAAAAATCACGTGGCGTTATAAGCATGCGCATTCACACACAATTGGTTGTTAGAAATCACGTGTTCTGTGTGACGTCATTTGTGCCTATTTAACAGAACGCTGAGCCATTCTTGCCATCATTTCCACAATGGGCAATTGTAGAAGTAAAGCCATAGTTGCAGAGCAGGAGCGATGAACGGAGATTGTGTCGGGTATTCTCGAGCGTCAGCGAGAGGAACGCTGGCTATGGGCTCAAGAAAAACGCTGTTTGGAGATTGCTTTGAAGTACTACAAGGACAATCCTAAACAGTGTTGATCTTGACACCCACCCCATGTCAGGCATAGCTTGACAGCCCTTTTTAGGGCAACAAATCAAATGAAAAGAGATTTTATGATATTTTACAATTCTTTATTTCAACAAGACATTTTAAATAACATTTTAAATATTTAAACAT